CTGTATTTGCTCAGAAGTGGCTGTGGCTGGAGTGTTGAACTGTCATTGCTGGAAAGGACATAGGTCTAGCCCAGGATGGCAAAATGGATGTCCTCAGAACAGCAGTGATATACTTTTGAGGTCCTAAATAGAAGCTGGAACAACTCAATTCTCTGATCAGAGCAGAGCAGAGCTGTTTTGAGTTGTTTAAACCTTGAGATTTGGAATGCATTTAAATGGGCTAAAGATGTTCTGCTGATGTTAACTAAGCTAACCTTTCTCCTCCTTTGGTGGTCCCTTATTTTATACCTAATGGCGCTGTGGCCATGCACAGCTACCATGTGACTGCCTCAGATCATGCACTCCACAAAATCCAGCTGGGACTGAGTCCAGTTCCAAGTATCCCAACTTCTGACCCAGAATTTTCTACTTGCGGTCCATTGAGTGTTACAGTACCTGTTAGGTGTCACTCAAGGACCAATCATCAGGAAAGACACAAGAACTCTGTGTCAGTTCTGGGGATGCACGTAGTGACAAAGCCAATGGCAGAAGCCTACTTTGTAGATTGTTATAGACAGTAGCTACAGCTACAGTTACTCCTTGTCTAAAAGTAATGCTTTCAAGATAATTCTGTGTCTAATGCCTCGTAATATCAAACAGCATAACTGCATAGCAAAAATGTTCTAAAACTAGATTATGACAAGATTCGCACAAGTGTAGAAATATTTAAGCACATTAAACTATATTGTTGAAATGAGTGATTTTTTTCTTTTATCTAACATTTTTATGCAATATGTTTTGATCATATTCTTTCCCATCTCCCAACTCCTCCCAGGTCCTCCCCACCCCCCTAGCCACCCAACTTCCCTTTCTTTCTCTCTTCAAAACCTTGGGGTCTGCTTTGTCTTGTAAACTGCTCTTGGACACATGACCTGCCCTGGAATGTGGTTGACATTCCCAGTGCTGTGTCATTGGAGAAAACTGATTTTCCCTTTGCCAGTGGGTATCATTTTCAGCTTCTTGGTTAGGGATGGGACCCCATAGCCACTTCCCCCTCTCAGTTCTGGGACCCTGGCTGTCTTGAACCTGCCCTACACTTGCTACCAGTCTCTGTGAGTTTATATGTGTGTCAGCCTTGTGTCTTGTGTAAGACACTGTTTCCTTGGAGTCATCCATCACCTTAGGCTCTTGTACTCTTTCTTCTCTTCTTCTGCATAGATCCCTGAGCCTTGAGGAAAGGGGTTTAATAATGACATCCCATTTAAGACCGAGTGATCCAAAGTCTCTTGCTCTTTGTACATTGTCTAGTTTGTGTGTCTCTGTACTGATAATCATCTCCTGTGACCCCAATCTCTCATCCCCCTATTTAATCCTCCTCTTCTAGTTTCACCTTTATCACGGTAGAATGCTAAATTCTATTGCCCCTCCTTCAAACTTAGATTTATTAAAACCTGATCTTATTAAATCTAAGAGACACATGCCCTTCGTAGCTTACAGGGAACCTGTAAGTATCAAATAAAATATCCTTGTGAAATAATTTAAAGGCTCATGAGCTCTTTCTTAGCAATAATTCCATTATGGTGATTATGGTGTACTTCTATAGACTGTGCCCTGAAATAGGAAGGTGAGAGATGAAGAGAAAAGAAATGAGAGAAAAAGATATTTTTTAATAGGGTATGATGGTGAGGAGGCATATTATAGTAAGAGGATGTTGAGAGGATAACTTGTGTGAAGTTTCTCCATGTTAATAAGCTTCCTACTGGATTACGAAACAGTGGGAAACAATTAATTTGCTAAAGCTGCAGCACAAGAGACTCAGAGAAAAGGGCCCTGTGAAGCTGGTGAATTTGAAGGGAGGCTCAACACTGTCAGGACTCAGGATCAAATTCTTGCCTTTTCTCATACTGTTCAAACATGATCACAACAGTGCCAAACATTGTCTTGTCTTCCAGCAATGATAGAACAGTGTTAGAAGCCTTAAGGCCCAGTGGTAGAGTGTTCAGCTAGCATGCCCAGGCCCTGAGTACCACAAGGAAAGCGACCAAAGGCGGACAACTGTGTGCCTTTCGTCTCTAGGGAAAAAAAAAAAAAAGATCTATCAATGACATTCCTAACAGATCCCTTTTTTTCGGATTTCAGTGACTAGAAGATCACATCTTACCCCTAAACAAATCAACAGCAAGGGGGAGTGAGATAGCATTATTTGTCTATGGCCCTGTCACTCTGAACATGCCTGATCTTAGAAGCTAAGCAGAGTTGGTCCCAGTTACTATCTGGATGGAGGATTAACATTACTTTCCTGAACAGGATATACCTGAGCAAATGAGGATTCTGCAAAGTAGAAATGGGATTGGTGGTGGCTGCTGAGAAGTTAATCCACAGTGGTTGATCACATTTTATTAACCTTTTCATGGAAAGACACAGAAACATGGCATGCTCTTTCTTTCTTTGTTGGTCATGAGTAACTGATATTCTTTTTAAAAAATGTCTCTGATTTCCATCCAGAGAGTTATTTGCCAAATTGGGACTCTGTAGGGTAGTTCTTCAGTGATATTGTGTGTTTATGTTGGAAGTTTTGAGGTTAGGAAGTCATATTTCACTAGCAGAGTCAATTGGAAAATTGGTGAAGAACTGTCATTATTCAATTTAAAGATGTTTGACTTTTTCCCTCCCTTTAGAACATCTAACCAATTTGGACTTGGGGAAGTTTTTGCTATATATAATTAAATGGAGATAACACATTGATGATTCTTGTCAGTTTAGGAGTATGGTCTCAGTAGGATTTAGAATAGGTGCCTCCACACAGTGAGACAATGGGGATGTTCTATCGGAAACTCACCAAGGCCAGCTGGCCTGGGTCTGAAAAAGCCTGGGTTAAAACCGGTCTCGCTGAACATAGTGGACAATGAGGACTACTGAGACCTCAAGAACAATGGCAATGGGTTTTTGATCCTACTGCACCTATTGGTTTTGTGGGAGCCTAGGCAGTTTGGATGCTCACCTTACTAGACCTGGATGGAGGTGGGTGGTCCTTGGACTTCCCACAGGGCAGGGAACCCTGATTGCTCTTTGGGCTGACGAGGGAGGGGGACTTGATTGGGGGAGGGGGAGGGAAAGGGGAGGCGGCAGTGGGGAAGAGACAGAAATCTTTAATTAATTAATAAAGAAATAAATAAATTAAAAAAAGAAAATAAACAACAATGCAAAAAAATTCTCACATACCAAAAAAAAAAAAAAAGAGTAGTTGCCTCTCAGCAGTAGGTGCCAAAGCCATGAGAAAGCCCAGAGAACCCAAGGATGAAGGTTCATTCCATGCAGATGGGGATATAACTGCTATCTTCAAGCCACTGGACAGAAGCCAAGAACTTCTGCACAGAAGTAGAGTGATTCCCTCTCCCCGCCTTGCCATATCCACCCTAGAGCACAGTGTGTCTGCATTATGGATTGGATGATCACCTTTATTTTGCATGTCACTCTCTTTGATGGATAGGCTGCTCACCAACATAAAACATTGCATTTTGTGGTATAAGTATACTGGCAACCATGTAATTGACACTCAGGTATATAGCTGTAGGTTATGACTAGCTGCAGGAAGTAGCCTTAGAAAATATCTGAGGATAGGAAAAGCTGTGCGATGTTTGGACTCTACTGTAGACTACAGTAAATGTCTGCTCTAGAAGATACTAACTTCTTTGAGTTTTTCTTTCCACCTCTGTCCTAAGTCTTGAAAGCCTGGTTTGCCAAGTCCTCATTTCCCAAATCCCCTACAGAGGTTTTCACTATTTTTACATGGTGCTGTTTGATAACACTAACTTCATATCAGATATAGTTTCAAAGCATAAAACTCAGTAATATGTGAACTGACTTTGAATAGCCAAAGTATTTTTTTTTCCTCTTCAGCAAGGACTGTGTATTTTCTTGCCCAATAATAGCCCCATCAAAATCAAACAGGTTTGTGCAAAAAGACCATGAGGTATACATGAATAAGTTCACCTATCCTACATAGAGGTGCATAAAAATGTTTTGACAGTATTTGTTGGCTGCTCATAGTTGACTTTTTATATGCAAATGCATTGGTGATTATCTCTTTTTTATTTTTGTTTTTATTGCTTTATAAATAATGCCATTCAAAATTTCCACTTCCTCCCCTCCTCCCATTTCCCTCCTGCTCCGCCACTCACCTCCCCACTCCCCCTCCAGTCCTAAGAGAGGGCAGGGTTCCCTGCCCCGTGGGAAGTCCAAGGTCCTCCCCCCTCCATCCAGGCCTAGGAAGGTGAGCATCCAGACAGACTAGGCTCCCAAAAAGCCAGTACATGCAGTAGAATCAAAACCCAGTGCCTTTATTAATGGCTTCTCAGTCAGCCCCCATTGTCACCCACATTCAGAGAGTCCAGTTTGATCCCATACTCACTCAGTCCCAGTCCAGCTGGCCTTGGTGAGCTCCCATTAGATCAGGCACACTGTCTCAGTGGGTGAACCAACCCCTCATGGTCCTGACTTCCTTGCTCATATTCTCCCTCCTTCTGCTCTAACTGGACCTTGGGAGCTCAGTCCTAATATATAGGGTAATGAGGTAATTTTTCGTTGTTTTATTCACTGTGTTGGTTTTATAACAGATTTTTTAAAAAAGGCCCCCTTTTTTCATTTTGTAGTCTGTACAGTAAGGCAATGAGGAAAAAATTCAAATCTGCCTGTCTATATTCCTTCAGAACTTATCAGATGGCACACGTCTACTTTCTCAGGATGAAAGATGCCATGTGGCCTCTCTACCTGAGAAAAGCAAATTGGCCCATGGCATTTATGGTGTTCTGTGACTCGTGAGGGTAAAATGCAGAGACAAATATGCATGAGCCCACCATAAGCTCTCTTAGGTAGTTTTTGGAGCGGAACCCCTTCTTTATCCTCAGTAATATCCTTTAAGCATCCCTTTTTCTTGAGGTTGTTGTGGCAGGGAACCTCTCCATTTGAGTCTGCTCATTGGATGACGCCCCTTAAAGGTTGTATTTTCTTCTTTCTTACAGCCAAGGATTACTGCAAAGTAATATTTCCATATGAGGCCCAGAATGATGACGAATTGACAATCAAGGAAGGAGATATAGTGACTCTCATCAATAAGGTAAACAAAGATTCTCTCCCACTTTCTAAGCTGTAAAGTGCTTTGTAGTAGCTAGAGATGATAAGCATTCATTTTAGCCATTTTGTTTTGTTTTGAGACAGGGCCTTGTTAGATAGCCCAAGCTGGTCTTGAACTCGCCACCCTTCTGCCTTAGTCTCCCAAGTGCTGGAATCATAGACATGTTCCATCATGCCTGGCTTGCTTTGTTTTATGGTCTCAAACATGTGAGAAATATTTGCATTTTTCTTTCTGCTCAGGTTATCCTAGAAAACAAGGCAACTTGAGAACCCAGTAGGTCTCTGTCTACCTCAGGGCCAGCTGCACACCTACATGACCCTGAAGAGTCTGTTCTGGAAGGCAGCCTACTTAGCTGCAGCTTTTGCCCTCTACAGTGGCCAGGCTGAAAGCCCTGTGTCATCAGGAACCCAAGGAGGGGCTCTTAAAAGGCTGGTCATGCCTCACAAGCAGCAAAACCTTAAAGAATGTTTGCTATTCAGATCAGAGGCAGGGAGAGTGCCGGAATGAATTTTGCTTGTCTTGCTTGGGCTATAAAGGTTGGATGATTTTATTATCACTACAGCCAGAGCCGTGTGAAATGCTGGAGGGCTATAAAGTCTGCGTGAAGCAAAGCAGTTTGCGAAGGTCTTGACCACACAGCATTTCTCCTTTCATGTAATGCCACTCACCGCGCAGGTAGCTAGAAGTCATATTAGTCAAGTGCTTCCTAGAACAAACAACATTCTTCTCTGAAGTATAAGGATTTTATGATGGTTGAGTGCAACGAGAAGCCAGGCAACCTTTAAGATGCAGAAAGTAGTTTTATTCTTGTGTCCAGGCGAGTGGCTGGAAACATGGTTATTTTCTACATGCCAGGATGACTTAGACATCTCCACAGTCACCTGAGCTCTTATGGGACAGGGAAGAATTGTCAGTCTAAAAGATGCATGATACAGGAAGGGGAACAGGGAATGTGAGTTGGGCAAAGGCCCTGTGGCTCTTGCCAAGAAGCGTGGGGGGGGGACCTGCTATGGTGTCGCCTATTTCTACCTCTAGATGCTAGTGTAGGAAGTGCTCCAGATATCAAGCTTAGCAACTATCTAGTGATTGTTGGTGGGTTTTTTTTTTTTGAGGGGGGAGACTGTTGACCCTCTCATGGACTCAATGAGTGTAGAAAAGCGCTACAACTATACAAAGACCTTTCTGGAATAGTCAACTATTCCCTCCTCTGAGAATGTGTCCATCTTTTTTACCTGTGAGCTCTTCTCCCCCCACCTGGTTCAGTGTGACTCCGTGGGTGTTGAATGTGGCAGGAGGAAAGAATAGGAAGGGAACAATGCTTTTCTTGCTCCTTTCTGCAAGAAGCGGTTCCCTTCTCTCCCCACCCGCCCCTCCTCCTAAGGAGGCAGCTCTCTTCTGCAAAGTGCATTTCCTATTTTTAATCAGACCTTTAGCCAAACAAGTGGGATAAGCAAGTTGTTAAATGGGTGCGAAGCATAATGCAAATGCTTTAATAATTAGCACTGATAATTGGTTTTTAGCCATGCAGGGAAGGAATAGAGCACTTTCCCCTTATACTGACAGAATAGGGAATTAAGAAACTGCCATTCTTTGTACTGGGGGATGGACTCACTGTCTTTATTTCTGTTTTGTTCCTGGGGCGGGCAGCCTCTTTTTATTGAGACATGGTGTGTTCGTGACATTTATGAAGATTTGAGAAAAGGAAATAGCACCATGATTTCTCTTTTACCTGGAGATGGCGATTTTCCCCTTTAAGAACCTACCCTCCAGTCCTTGCCACTTGAATATGTTCTGTGCCTAAGGAATACACACATTCGTTTCTTGGTTTTGTCCTGTATGTTGCAGTCTAGGATCCAGTCTCTGGAAAGGAATCTGATTTGGGGAAGAGAGAGCTTGGTCTGAAAAGCAACCTCAACAGGTCCCAGCCATTCAGTGGGTACCCATGAACAGAAGAATGTGACAGGCTACTTTTAAGAGTGCCCTCTGAGGGCTGCACTCCGTTTCTCTGGTGGTGGTTTGCGAATATAATATGATGCTGCCATTTCCCCTATACACATTTGTTCTCTAGGCCAAGAGTCCATATGCTATTTAGACAATTGGTCCCTGATTCTGCCCCCTCCCAAGCTTCCTTCCACTCAACTTCCTGAGCATGCAAATGAGCCCAGGCTTGCTTTACTGGCCTGATGAACACTCTGAGTCTCCTCCTTGGCTGCTGAGAAGTGCCCTGAGGTGGTGAACATGGAGGGGTGCTTTTTTCCCCTGCCCCATCTACCCAACTGCTTCATCCTTAGCATCCCAGCATCTTCTTCTTAACACCCCACAACAATGTTTAATTTGTGATCCCTGTGCACCAACCAAAGTCTTCAATGACTTTCTTTGTTTTGTGGTAAAATCCAGTCTGGGGATATGCTACTTCTTCCCTCAGACATTTTGGCTTTGGAATGTGCAACTTTTCTGAGACACCTACCATATGTCCCCATTTGACTCATATGTTCTCATGGGACGGACCTTGAGCATGCACATTCCTGTAGGGATGCTGACTACCCACTGAATTGTTTTCTTTAAAAATATATATTTAGTGTATAGATGCTTGTGTTTACACATATGTGCACATGTTGTGTTCTTTTTTGCAATTTTGTTTCCTTTTTATTTATTGCACTGTTGTGTTTTTTTTGCAATTTTGTTTCCTTTTATTTATTTATTTAAAAAAGAAAAACTATCTTTTTATCATTATACATACCAATCCAAGTTCCCACTCCCTCTCCTCCTCCAATTCCCTCCACATACCCTCCCCCCAATCCAATCCTCAGAGAGGTAAGGCACATTTCTTTGGGAAAGATCCAAGGCCCTCCCTACTATATCTAGACTGAGCAAGGTATCCATCCAGAGAGAATGGGTTCCCAAAAAGCCAGTACAAGCAGTAGGGACAAATCCTGGTGCCACTGCCAGTGACCCTCAGTCTGTCCCAGCCATACAACTGTCACCCACATTCAGAGGGACTAGTTTGGTCCTATGCTGGTTCCTTCCCTGTCTGGCTGGAGTTGGTGAACTCTCATTAGGTCAGGTAGACTGTTTCAGTGGGTGTCCCCATCATAGTCTTGACCTCTTTGCTCATATTCTCATTCCTCCCATTCTTCAGCTGGACTTTGGGAGCTCAGTCCAGTGCTCCGCTGCGGGTCTCTGCCTCTGTTTCCATCAGTTGCTGGATGAAGGTTCTATAGTGATATTTAAGATCACTATTTAAGATCATCAGTTTATCTTACCTATATTATGAGCTTGTCATTTTATTCATATTATTTTATATGATCTGCTGAGAAAGCAGGACTCTTACTATCCTCTACTGATACAGACTTCATTTTCATTGTCATAAAATCTCTGCCAACCTTGACCTTGAGAGCAGCGTGTTAAGATAACGAGTCCTGTAGGCTTCCAGCTCAGGGAAGCCAAGGTTGGAGTTCCAGCATCACGGTTTCTGGTGATGTATCTTTGGGCATGTGAACTGATCTCTCCGAGCCTTAGTTTCCTCAGCTGTAAGCAAGGGTCAGAAAGCTGACGTCACAGGCCTACTGTGACTGTTTGTTAAGGTGCTGCACATGAGGCATGTCTTACAGCAGTGAATCTGCCTGTGCTAACAATAATTCTAGCTATTGTCAGCTTCCATTCTGGCTTTTCCTTTTGAAACTTTAGTAAAAGGAATTGTAGGCTCTGGGTCTGGTCCCTCTTTTCTGTTGGGGATGAATACAGGGATGACATTAAGTGGGTAAAGGTGTTTTTAAAAATCCACCTGCAATAGTTAAGAATTCAGTGGGTGAGGTTTTAGCAAGATGAAAGAAAAATATGCTGCTTTTTTGTCTGCTGAAAGTAGTAAAAATGGTGTTGAGTCTGTAAAAAAAAACCTACTGATATTGTAGAAAAATTCTTACCTCTTCTTTTAAGTTGATGAGTCACCCAGATTCGTTTGGATGATTATAAGCTAACCTAAAATGGATAGGTTCGTCACCACTGGCTAAATATGTGTTTGGATGTACCTGTACCTGTTTATTCTGTATATGAGTTGAGGTAAAAGAGCTGAAGTACTATTTTTGCATTTCGGTGTTATTCACTGTTTGAGTCTCCACTGTCCCCACATGCTAGAGCTCTTTCCTTTGCCTGTCAGCTGAGGTGATTCCCATTGCCCTGCTTTCTGTGCCCTGCCAGGAGTCACAGAGCAGGCTCTGGCCTCCTTTTCCACTCTAGGTTGTCATTTGTGTGACTTTCTAAAAAATGAGTCAGACACCTTTAGTGGGTGTCTGCGAGCCCTCTGTGGTTCTTGAAATAAGGCGCAGAGACCTGAACTATTTGTGTGTCCCTGGAAACGAGCATGAGATGTTGCAACCCAATTTGTTTTTATTTAGAAAGAAGATTTATGGATTTGGGAACATTTTTACTTGTGCAGAACACACCTGTAGTTTTTTTATTTCTAGTCTCTCAAAAATAGCTCCTGCGTCTGTGTTTCTGCCGCCTCCATCCTACTTTCCTGATTGACGTTCTGTGTTCAGGAAGGTTTCAAAGCCTCTGGGTGTGGTTTCTGGTTGTTTTTTTTTTTTTAATTCATTTTTATTTATTTAGAGACGGGCTCTCACATAGCACCAGCTAGCCTTAACCTCACTGCGCAGCTGAGGCTATCCTTGAATTCCTGGTCCTCTCCCTTTGTCTCCAGAGTTCTGGGGTTATAGGCATGTGCCACAACACTGAGCCCTGGGTTTCTAGCAGAGAAACTCCCTAGAGAAGGGCTAAGGGCAGCTTTGGAGAAAGTTTCTGGCTTCACTGTGAGGGAAGCTACTACTGGGGCATGTGCTTGCTGTGACTAGCACCCACTGAGGGCAGAATGAACACAGCTGGAACAATGGGCCTATTCTCACAGTGCTGCCCCTCCCTGAATATAGGAGGAAGGGTTTGCTACTGACCCCTTAGCAAACAATGCTCATAAAACAATTTCCGTG